GAAGTCAATCATCCGTTTATTTTCCTGTCTTTACTTTGTTTTTGTGATGATTAGATCTTTTATTATTATCTTCAAGATGTATTACTTTATTGATAGCTTTTTGACGTTTAAATTACTTTATTATTATTTGTTTGATCTAAGTTTTCTCTTCACAACAGTGGTTTAGGTTAAGAATATAGTGTTGGTGGGTTAGTGCTAAAGATATACGGGCTATTTATGTTTTTATTATAAGTTAGAAAGCAACTTTGCGATCACATTGATGATTAGATGTTGAATGGTTAATGGTGATATCTATTATTATTAAATCGGCTCAGTAAATTGATTGTGATATTTATAGTTCATCTGTCATGATTCCTGTGTACATTTTATTTATTTGCTGATTTGGTTTCAGCGATCATGATGAGATTGGTCCAAAGGGTTAATGGCTGAAAAATGCTTATTTTTCTTTCTTTATGATGTTATGAGATTTGAACTTCGACATTTATGATCCTCCACTAGAAGCTCCACGAAATGTTGCTGATGCAGACGATGACTCCGATAAAAAAGACGAGTTACAGGCTCAACGAACAACTGTAGGAGTTTGGAGAAATTCTATGGCAGATACCATGTGGGATGATAGAAGCCATGTGGGATGATGGAAGTCGAGTCACTCTAGGGATTTAGATTTTTATTTATTTGTAAATTATTTTATTATTTGAGATGAATAGTGATGCTTTATTGCATTATATTTTATAGTTATCACTAGAATTTTTACTAGAATTTGCTTATTAATATTATATTATTTTTAATATACAATTATTAACAATAGTAATTTATACCCACCATTACCTCCACCAAATTATCCTACCAAATTATGCAACTTCATAATATTATCCATCATTATCCCACCAAATTATCCTACCAAATTCTCCCACTTTAAGAATTACCCATCATTGTTCCACTAAATTATCCGAGTGTCAAAAAATTATCTCACTTTACCAATTATCCCAGTTCTACTTAAAAAGTTCTAGGTGACTAACCCCCCCTTAGCCACACTCCCTCTCCTGCTACAGTGCAGGGGGCCCGCATGAGATTTTTTAAAAAATCTCATGCGGGCCCCCTGCACTGTAGCAGGAGAGGGAGTGTGGCTGAGGGTGTGTCCGGTGGTGTGCCTCTATCATTATTATTTGAGTATTAAGCTTGGCCAAGTCAGCACTTAAAAGCAGCGTGCATCACACTTGAGGTTGAATTAGCTTTGGTTGATTATAAACTAACTAATGAGCAACAATTTGAGTTCAGAAGTGGTACTCTGTCGAATCTTCTGATATTGATAGTGACCTCGATAAGGGGGTGTTTGAAACAAATTCTATAACTTTAGGATATGGATTTTACCATGGGATTTGAAATCCATATATGTGTTTTCTTATGGGCTGGGATTTCTAAAATGTTGTTTGTTTTATTAATATTTTGGGATTTGGAATACTACTTTGTAATATTTTGTTTGTTTCAAGCTCAAATTATAGCATTACCAAATGTCAAAATTTTGTAATATGAATGAATATGCTATCTTGGTGAGCTTACCCTCACAAAAAGATAAAATTGGGATTTGTCAAATCCTCTCCAATTGAGAGGTAAGCACACCTATTTATGGGATTTGTCAAAATCCTCTCCAATTGAGAGGATTTGGCAAATTCTAAAAATTGGACACTTTTTGCACTTTTAGGATTCAATATTCTAAAAAAATTTAAAACAAATACCATATATGAAATCCCAAAATACAAAAAAACTTATTTTTTGATCCCAAAACTTATAATCCACACCAAATGCTAAAAATTTTGGTGAAACAAACACCCCCTAATTGTCTAGTGATGTTAGAATAAGATCTCTTTTCTCTTTTGCTTTTCAAGTAAAATTGATCCCACACTGGGCTCAGTGTTCATGAATCCAACACTACGCTTACCAGAGTTTTTATCCATGTAACATCTTTAAATCCTAACCAAAAAAAAAAAAAAAAAAAAGAATAATAGCAGTTAACAGAGCGTATAGCTTAAACTTTGATCTTAATAAAAGATTGGAATGAGTTCTTGGCATCCAAATATAGGTACACGAGCTAATTGTATACGTATGAAGTACGTCAGTGCTTTTTTAGTGTACGCATTAGTTAGTTTTCACTTGTTGGGAGATGAGTCCAACTCCATTTCCTAATATCTAGTGATCCATCGCCATCGAAATTACTAGGATACCAGCAACTGCTTTATATTTTGTATCAAACCTTTCATCCAAATACCTTGCGAACCACGATTTAAATAGAATAAGGGTGTGTTTTCATAAATAATGGGGTTGATCAACAAATAAACTCCTTTGTACCCTGGCATAGTCGGTTATATTCATTAAACTATTATATCGGCACTTAATCGTAATTAAGCTATTTCATTATTAGGCTGAGTTGTCACGTGGAATAGCATGATCATAAATTACATTTTTATCCTCAATTTAGAGAAGAATTTACTTAATTTTTCGGTTATATTGAGGATAAGAAATAACTTATATAAGAATTTACTTAATATTTCAGTTATATTGAGAATTAAGAAATAATCACTCATCACGAGCCCGTGTGATAAGTCAACTTAACAAAGAAATAACATCGTCTAAAATTTCCAAAGATGTAGATGCTAATAAAATAATTTAAATATATAAATTACTATTCCCCGGAGATGCATTTGCAGGCAACCATAATTTATGAAGTATACGTTGACTCACAACTTGTTGTGGAGCTGAAGTGAGGAGGAAAAAGTACTTCATGTTGTTCGATTAGAACGTCTCGTTTCAATTTTTCTATTTTCATTCGATAATGAAGCTTATTGTATTTTATCAGAAGAAAAAAGAATTGTAATTTCACAAAAACTCTAAGGGGTGTTTGTTTGCATGCAAGTAAAAGATAAAAGTGAGAAAGTTACTTTTATTTAACAATCAAGGTGTTTTGCTTTCATTTAAGTGGTTATGAAAGTGAGATGCAAGAAAGTTGTCACATATGATTTAATACAATTTTGACTTCCCCTAAAAAAGTGGTGAAGTCACATAAAAGTGACAAAAATGTAACTAATTTAATTAAATAATTTTAATTATACTCTCTAATTAATCTTATTTTGTCACATCATCTTCACATTGCACTTTCGGTAATAATTTAATTTTTCAAATAAACATTGTATTTCACTTGCATGCTGACATGAATGTAAAAGTTATTTGTAAAAAAATAATTTACATATTTTAAATCCACTTTCAGATTACGAAACACCCCCTAATTTCAGTGTGATGGAAGCATGAGGAGTGGAGTGAGGCAAGAGAAAACGTGGAAGGTGTTGAGCTGACATTGTGTCTCACACGGGATTGTGGGGCCTCGGCCGGTTACCGTCTCTTAAACCTTCCACTATCTCCCCTCTGTCATTACAAATAATATAATATTGTCGACTCTTTCCTTTTATTATTAATTTTGTACTTTGTACGCCAATAAATTACAAATTAATACCATAACTTTATGTGAATATTATTATCCTCTAACCTATCTGTCTGAACTGTCTCACAACATTTGCCTACAAACAATGGAACATAAAGGGAAAAATATCCATCTATTACATTAAAAAACTAGGAGGGAATTTAATGAGCTTCATGGGAGTTGTTAAGTGTTTTTTTTTTTTTGTTTAATCTAATGTGATCACTCAACACACTCTCCTTAGTCTTAGTGGAAAAGGCACCGAGTTCTTTTACCCTGTAGAGAGAGACCGTTGGATGCGAAGGGATATAGATTATTCATCTGTAGTTACAACAATCGTGATTCGTTCTAAAACGTAACCACCATCAAAAGTCGTCGTCTTCTGCTCCTCATATTACGTTCAGAACAACTCCACCGTTCACTGAACGATAAGCAATTCTGATCTAATACCAATGATCTTAAAAAAAAAAAGTAGTACATAAACTTGGATACGAAATTAGAACTCTGAAGGTCACTGAGCTACAGTAATACCTACTTAATTTGCGAGAAAGAACTCGGGCGTTCACATGAAATCGTTACCATCCGGAGTTTTGAGTGTTCATATGGTCCACAGATAATTAGGGTTGACTGTAGAATGATAACAGTTGGGATGCTGATAAAACAATTTGTTGATATAGTACGGGTCAACAGCGTTTGATGAAATTAGGATTCCGTGTGAAGAATGCTTTAGTTTGTTGACAATTACAGGGTTTAATCTCTCCGTTTGGTTCTCACGACTCGTGAGTCGGTTGGTGATGACTAATTCTCTATTATGTTCATTTTGAAATTAGCTTAAAAGATAGAGGTAACATGTGCTTTGTGTGCCTTGTGAACAAGTAAATAAAAGGCATGTGCTTTTGGACCTGAGCTCAGTGGGGGAAATCCTGTGGAAAAATGAAGTGTAATCTTTACCAACGCGTTAAAAGCTCAGAAATTGTTGGTGGATCAGTGAAACAAACATTATATCAGCGTAATCACCAACTTTAAAATCTACAATCTAAGCGCAATTTGCGTCGCTATCTAATTACGCCCTATGTGATTTTCCAAAGAGGAATCTGTAGGATTTTTCTTTTCTTTTCTTTTCTTTTTTTTCCTTTTTCCTCTCCTCTTTCTTCCCTAAGCTTGGATTATTGAACTTGAAAAGTCAAGAGCCGTTTGTATTAGGAAGGGGTCGGGTGATGGATGGCAACTTCCACTGGTACTTCCTTTGAAATAGTATCCAATTACATAGAAACCCTCCTCCCATCTTTTTCTCCTGAAAACCATTATGTTCCACTAAATTCACAGAAAACATCGACATATTGCTTCAATATTTATCTGCAAATCTCTGTTATATTACATATGGCACACAGTTTAATGATGAATATAATGAATGGATGTGAAGCAATGTTGTCAAAAATAAAGTTCAATAGAATTTAATGCAATGATGCAAAAGCTAATTTTTGGTCTCATGGCTCTCAAGTCCACCAAGCCTATAGCAATCTTAAGAATCAATGCTCAAGGTCCAAATATGATACTGATATTACTCTTTATTCAAGTCAAGTACATGTATTGTTACGTGAAACTCTTCTCAAATATCAAAATGGCCCATGGTACCACTATATCTCAAATTACTACGGAGTAGATGAAGCAAAACCCTACACATGAACAACAAAGGTAATAGCAACATAAAAAGTTCCTCTCAGAGCAAAGCAGTGAGAAGAGCGAGAACAATTCAGTGTTTCACTGCGAGAGATCATTCAACTGGAGTCAATCCAACAACACCTGGACATAGGAAGCAAGCACCATATTAAATAACAGTGGGTAGGTAGCACGAATTAGTTAGTTTGTACACGTGTTCATGCACGGGTGTCGACGGGCAGGTTTATCATACATGGGTTAAGACGGGTGTAGTTTTCAGAGCGAAATGACAAAATGTTCAGATGAAATGAAGGTTTTCAATGTTTTCTATTAAGGTTTTTATCCTCAAATCATACTCATCCTTTGTTTTTCTTTTGAGATAGTATTTCCTATTGTGATACTTAACAAAATCAATTAATTTAATTTAACAGTTATTTTCTAAAACAATAATTATTAAAGATCTGAAGCATGCACATAACTAATGTCGAGTGTCAGGTAAAACTAAATCCAGCCAAACTCTCTCTCTTCATTCCTGATCTTCCAAATATAACTATCTTAGACAGGGCAAGGAGAAGATGTTCCTTTAGTGCAAAATGCTAACGATCTCCTTTTAATCTCCTCAAGCTGAGAGGCTGCTAACGCAATATACACAAGAACCACAAAGTGGAAAGTGGATAAATGAATATTTTGATGTTGTTGATGATTACTATACATGAAAGATATCTTAGAATTCTCTCATTTCTCATTTTCTGAGAGAACCAACATCAGATTCTGCAGCCGTTTTGATTTTGAAAAATATCTATCTGGTGAACCTTTTGTGTTTTTCTAAAATCATGAAACTGAGATTTCATAGAGCGTTAAAATATTTCCTTTTTCAATGCATTAAGTTCACAATCACGGTTTTTACATAGTCCAATGTAAGAACTTATTATTTTCAAGCCGATAGGCATATGATCTGAGCTAAAAAGCATCACCACAGAACAGATATTTTGTTGTATACTATTTGAACAGGCTTTAATTCATTGAAAATTCTTCTATGTCTATTTTTCATAGATTTTTGTAGTGAGCAGAAATTTCATTAACAGGTCACAAATTTTTCTTGCATTTTTTCGTTTACCAAACTTGTTGGATTATTCCCTACATATTATTTCGATATTTTTATATTTCATTTGGTTGTATTATACTGTTTCTTGCTATTTTGCTGTATTGTGAAGAATAGAAGATTGTGAGGATATTAGGAATTTTAAAGCTAAAAGTCTCCTTCTTCCTTCCATATGACAAGCCTACAACTTATCTCCATATACCTTTGATGACTTTCTGATCATTCTTTAACTTCTTATGTATTCCTTTTTTGATATTTTATTCATAAATTTTTTAGGACATGTTCTGAAAAACTAGCTTTTTTTAGTCCTCTAAATCCACCTGGTTTGTTTATTTACTTGATCACTCTCAATGTTTCTTTATATTGCATTCTAGTTTTAAATATCTTAGGCCTTTTCTTTGCACATACATTGTGAAAAATCGCTCAGGAGTATCAGATTTCAGAACAGGCTTTTATGTAACACTTCCAACTATTATAAATAACATAAAGAAAAAAGATTGCATTTGAAACCTACAAAACATTTTTGCAAGACCAAACTGGTTTTGATTCTCTTCCATTAGGTCAGTTTGATTGCTTGTAATTGGAAATCAATCTGCTTTCATATTTATGAAGTTTAGTATCATGGAAATACTAATCCGGTTGTTGCAGTTTGTTTGCAATATTTGAGATGCTGGATTCCATTGGGTTCCAATTGATACTTTTTAGACAGATGCGCTATGTTGTTGAAATACAGATTTATATACATTATATTTACAGATTCTTTTGGAGATCCTAGAAAGGAGTTGAACTGCGAATAAAATAGTACCATATTCATCAAATCATGCAGCTGAAAAGCTTCATTTCCATTTTAATAAATAAGCCCTCATTTATTTGTTTTTTTTTATAACTTCCACTTCTTTTAATGAAGTTATATTCCCTGACAAATTTACAGCAGATTATGAGAAAATTTCCCCTTCTTTTATGCAAATGCAACCTAAAAGGGCATTACAAACCTTTCATATTTTCCTATTTTTCCTAAAAAAGAAGGTGGCTAATCGTGCTTTATTTTTCTCTGCTGGCTTTTGGAATAGGTGAACACTTGTTATCCATTGGATTCTCCATGACCAACCATGACATGGTCCTTGGCTGAGCCACCAATCAATTTATCAATCACTCAACTTTGATCTCAACTTTGGTCACACCTAAAATCTCAGCTTACAGGTATTCCATACAATCTCACCCTTAATCACAATTCTAATCTTGGTCATATAAGATATTACTTAGCCATTTATGCTATACGGACATGTGTGCGCTTTTTGTGACTGGACATATACTAGAACAAGAGATGTCATTACATAAAGTTGATCGCATAAGAGCAACTTCTGAAAGTAAATAATGAAATCATAAAGCATGGCGAGAAAAGAGGCAACAAATATTTGCTTACCACATGCTAATCTTCCCCCTGCGTTCCCAGTGCTAAGGCTAAGCTCATGTCCTCCTGCAAAATGAAACAAATACAATATTTGGACCACAATAAAAGCAGGAAAGAAATCGAGAAAAAAGGGAATATGACTAAAGAGAAAAAAATGAAAATGATTCTAAATTGGATTTAAAACTGATTCAGAAAATAAAAACTTAGGAACACAAAGCTCACCTTTCCCCAGGTCATCCTCAAGCTCATGAACTACAAATGCTCTTCCAATGACTGCATTAGGGCCAGCCAATGGAACCTAAATACACATGAAGAAACGTGAATAGGAACAAAAGAAAATCAGCAAGATTAAAACATAAATGAAGATAGCGGAATATCCGTCATAAAAAATTAGTTGAGTTACGTGATTAATAATGATGACACAAGAAATGTAAACTCAATCACCTGCTTATCCACAATTGTTGTCTCGGCCACTCCTATGTGCATAAAAGCAATAGAGAAGGCATTAATATGTTTATCATACCTATAAAACACGAAATTTAAGGACGATGTTATAAACAATACCATCAGCATTTGCAACAATGTTCCCCAGGTCACCCGCATGACGGATTTCATCTTCAGGAGCACCATGTGTCATCCCATTTGGGTTGAAATGCGGCCCTACAAAACAAAGAGAATATTCAGCAAGAGGGAAAAAAATTTATGTGTACTTTTGAAATTCGAAATCAGTACTGAAAGCTTGATCTCACAACCACAAGTTTCAAAAACTAATTCAAACAGTAGAACAAGAGGATCTCCACAAAGATCAGCACAAAATAAACCCAAAAAAGGCATTCAGATATCTAAGATAGAGTTCTTTGGCCAGGTTTACAGATTAAACTAGATATTTTGAGGTAAGGATAAATCACCAAAATTATCTTGGCCTAACCTGTAGATATGCAGCCATTGGTGGTATCACCAAACTCATGCTGCAGGAAAAGAATGTGTAAGACTGATAGGAATATGCATAACAAAAATAGGTGGGTAACAAGAAACTCACAAGATGGAACCCATGAAGTCCTGGTGTAAGTCCAGTAACACGAACTTTCACTGTTGTCGGACCTACACAGAGACAAAATAAAATAACAGAATGGTTGAGATACATTCTCAGACAAGAAGACAGAATATTTTCAGATACATTCTCAGGTAAAAAATATGGATGTAATGAAGAAGCAATCATCGAGATTTATTCATGTCATGTGAATAGATTGAAGGTCATAACTGTAATGTAACATAATAAACTGAGCCATGGTTAAACATGGGTCACATTAATAAGAGTAGGGTTACAATACACCTAGGGTATAACTAACTTCGTTACACCTATCTTTAAAAATAATGTTTGACCATCGATATTAACGATCCAACACCATTCATTGTGATCTACATGTCATCAAATGAGTGCAAATCAAAAATAATGTGGCGTAGGATTTTCTATCCTATAATTCAAGCAACTCAAAATAACAAGCATTTTAGACCGTTATAGACCATTCATTTGTAGGCCTTTGGGTGTATAAAGAAGGAATATCTTATCTTTGTGATTTTTTATCTCCGTGAAGTTTTGAATGCATAGATTATAATGAACGGTGTTGATCGTGAATATCGACGCTCAAACATGTACTTTTGCATGTGGGTGTAACTAAGTTAGTTACACCCTAGGTTCATTGTATCTGCACCCCATTAATAATGCAATAACATAAAATGTAACTCTTTAGAATAGTAAATAAATAGTAAATAGAAAAAACTTTATCCAACGCTTTGAAACTAATAATAACATAATGGAGCCAGTTCTTGTACAACTACCTAATTCTATTTGGGAATCCAATTGAATCTTCCTGCATATGTTGGCCACTGTTAACATGAAATATCATCTGGATAGCACATGATTCCAACATTACACTTTCTGCATATTCCTCATATCCATGTCCTGCGGTTACTATATTTTCATCGTGCCACAAATGCATCAAACTTAACATTTCTTCAAAACAAACAATAAAGATATGCTCAACACTGTAATTCAACTATTTGTAAAATTATCTGCAGTGCGGCACATCTATCAGCGTGTTGATGTCATGTAACTTCCTTCTCTAGAATAGATTCTTTTCCCCTAATTGGCTAATTTAACATGAAAAAAATGCAAAAATTTGCATTTCGAAATAATGATTACATAAGCAGCAATAAAAAATAAAAAATGTAACTTTTGATCGCTCGTTAATACTAAGTGGTACACTAGTTCAATCCGTGCAACGCGAAAAAACATTGATCAAAATCTAAACTTTGAGCAGCGAAAATCAAAAGGCAAGGGGAGCAAATAACCATCGTCTTCTTGAAGGAGAGTGACGACGCCCTCGACCTCGGAGTTTCCCTTGAGTACGGCAACGGCCTTCTTAGAGGCGGCGACGACGGTCAAGGGTTTTGAAGCGGCGGCGGCGGCGGCGATGGAGAGATTGGAAGCGGAGAAATTGAGGGGCTTGCCGAAGGAGAAAGAGGAGCGGAAAGGGCGAGCAAGGGAAGAAGAAGAAGAAAGAGGAGGAGGAGAAATTAGGGTTAGGGTTTTGGAGGAGGAGGAGATCAGTTGAGCAGCCATTGAAGCTGCGATCATTGACCGCTTTGCTTTGCTTTGCTCTGCTCAAGGTCTGATGATGATGACGACGACGATAAAAGGGAGGGACACAAGTGGATTTTTGAGGCCCGTTCGTGGGGACTCTGGGCTTGGAGGCCCACTTTCAGCCTAGACCTGGGCCTGCTTAGCTTTCGTTCCTTGTACGGTACTCTGTTCCAATTGAAGGCCCATTGAAGGCCCAATTGATTATTAATAGAAGACAGGCCTTCTCATTGTGTGGTAAAAAGCAGCCTATGCTTCGTTTAAATTAAAAAAAAGGCTGCAGATGAAATACACGAGAAAGGAGGGATGAGGATTGAGAAAAAAGTAGAAATTTATGTAAGCATTCTATTTCTCTGCGGTAGAAGATCAAGTCATAACTCTAACTGACCGCGAGCTTGTGATGTCTGTTAGACCGGCTCTTTGAGTTGAAAATGAGATTCTTGTGTTCTTTCAAGACGATTCGCAAGTTGCGATGGTCCATTAGGATCACATTCAAGCATCAAAAAGGTTCAGATATTTTGAATTTAGATTGGTCACTTGGTCAGGATGAGGCTTAGTTTGGTAAGAGGTGTGAGGATGGGAGGTGACGTGACGTGACGTGCAATGAGATGTAAGGAAGGATATACTGATTCTTGTTTGGTTAGAGGGAAATTTTCTTAGATGCTCATTAAGTATCGGTGTGACATACACCATACCAATAGGAGTACTCCATGTGACACAAATCACATGCGAATATGAAGATGATGGAAATAAACAAATATTTTTGTGCCACAAGATCTAACTCCTATTGATGTGATGTGCGCCACATGGTGCTCATGTAGCACCTAAAGATTTCTTGGAAAAATAATATTTGTGTTTAGTTCAATTTTTATTTTCTCTCACCTCATTATGTGTCTTTCTCTCACCGCACTCTTATGTCCTTCCAAAATGGAGGGATTTTTCTCTCTATAAAATTCTAGTTCGGATAAATTTTTAAAATAGACTCATTTAGAAACTTATTTTTAAAAAACGACCCATTTTGAAAATAATTGCCATTTTCGACCTAGATTCAGCCACCTGGCTAAAAATTGGTCGAAAATGACAAAATAATCAAAAACTTTACGGGGTTTAAAAATCCTATGAAGTTTAAGCCGTCATTAATGTGTTGGTTAAGGAAGCCAAAGCTTCACGGGATTTGAAATCATGTGAAGCTTAAACTTCACAGGATTTCAATCCCGTGAAGATGATGCCACACTCCAGAGAGCATTTGCTCTTTGGCAAGTTGTCCTGCAACTCCACGGGATTTGAAATCCCATGGAGTTGTAGGTTTCCCCAAACATACACAGAATGTGTGTGTGTTTCTTATATACAGGAAAAAAATTTCACAACAATATACATGAAAATTTCCGCCTCATTCACAACAATATACATGAAATTTTCGTCTCATTTACAACAATATATATGAAATTTCTATATCATTCACAATAATATACATGAAAATCCAACCATAATCTGATGATACTTCATACACTGTCATTCACAACAATATATATATATATATGAAAATCCAACCATAATATGAAATTTTCGGCACATCTATCATTCACAACAATATACACAAAAATATCCCTGTGAATCATCTATCTCCGCCATCAACATGATCTGATGATACTTCATACACTATCCCCAAATTTTTTTTTGAGTGCTCCAAGATAATGTGGTAAGATCTTGTAAGATTTGTCCTAATCTTCGAATATTTTTATCATCTCCTTCCTCCAAGCATTCCAACACGTATTGTATGATACATCCAAGTTGGTCGCTTTATACACTAAAATACGAATATCCTTTGGTCTTAGATCAAGATCCTCTCTTAGTTTTGGCATAATCAATCGATATATGAAAGAGGTGGACGTGTGTTTATGATTCATCTCTAATCGAGGATTGCTACATGTGTGAAGTCCGTTGTAGTATGTTATTTTAAATTGTCCGCCTACTTTTACTCCCAAACGTGAATTAAGCTTCCAGTGACATTTTGTATTTCCATCATGGTGCCCACCACTACCTTCTTCCTCACCATCTTTGCGGTAAAAATAAACTACATTATAGCTTATTGTAATGTTGTTCGTCTGCCTAAACTTTATATTTTTTGATGGCCCACAAACAAACCGTATGAATCAATTTCTCCTTGCTTTCAAATGGATCGCCCTTTTTGAATGAGAAGTCCTAACCTTGTGTACCATCATCTAAATTATTTCCCATAGGAATGCTTTTCATCGTGGAGTCATCAATCCATTCTTCTCCATGAAGTTCATCGGGCGACAGAACCTCTAATACGACATACTCATTGTTAGAATAACATCGATCAATATATTGGTTGTCCCATTCATCACGATCTATCAAATACGTCATGCTATTAATTTGTAAGACATCCTCTTCGTTATCATTCTCCGATTCGACACTTGCAATATCATCTCCTATCGTCATTCTTGAGGAAGGCATTATATCGATCTTGATGGGGAGTGATATCATCGAAGGCATTTGAAGTGCTCACAAGCGAAAGAACGCTCAAGTATTATGATTGTGTCCATCCTATTGCGGAGACAAAAAGCCGCCAGAGTCAACTTTAAGGTCCTCCAACACACGAGAGTATATTCCGTCGTGAATCACCGATTTGCCCAAATTTTTGTGATATTTTTTAATAAATAATTCCACCGCACACTTCTCGTTATATAATATTCTAATAAGATCTGTATCGTAGTCATTTAAGATTTAAATGTCGTTTGTTCCATTCCCCGTAACAGGATAATTACAAATCACGTTGAGGTGATACTCACGTGGATTGGTTAATATAAGTTTGTGTAAGTCATTAACCAAGTCATCGAAAGTATATGATTTTGATATAAACAACGGCTTCATCACACCTCCTTTATATACGGGCATATTATTTTCGAGATATTTAATCTTTCTATCATATGAACAAAGAATTACGATTCGATCGTTCATCGTTACCTCTGAAGAGTAAAAAAATTCCAATATCAATATTACACAGAAAACACAAAAAAAATATTTACCATTAAATCCTCTAATTTAGATTTTAGACTTTCATAATTTTAACCGAATGTCTAACTTTTATATTTTTAATATTGCCTAATTTAAACAATTTAAACAACATTCACTTTTAAAATTTGAAAAATAATACACTAACTTTTATAATTTTTCATAATTTCTCGTCTAACTTCATATACAAAATTCTTTATTTTTTCTTCACAAAATTCATAAATATTTCAAAATATAAATTTAAACAAGTTATTAACATGAAATAGTGAGAATGTGTAAAAATTTAGGAAAATTTTAAAGATTTTATCAAAATTTGTCGATGCCCTAAATTTGATATTCAATGATCTCCGGTGAACTCGACGGTGACGACGACAGTGGGATCGATGACGACCGATGGACGATGCAGCGGTAGCGGTGGCGGCATATGGATCTAAAAAATTCTTTATTTTTTCTTCAAAAATTCATAAATATTTTAAAATCTAAATTTAAACAAGTTATTAACATGAAATAGTGAGAATATGTAAAAATTTAGGAAAATTTTAAAGATTTTACCAAAAATTTGTCAATGCCCTAAATTTGATATTCAATGATCTCCGGTGAACTCGACGGTGACGACGACATTGGGATCGATGGCGGCCGATGGATGATGCGGCGGTAGCGGTGGCAGCATATGGATCTAAGGTTTGGTGGTAAAGGAGGAGAGAGAGAGAGAGAGAGAGAGAGAGAGAGAGAGAGAGAGAGAATGGGTCAGGGAAACGAGAAATGTGATCACGTTGTACTTAAACAGGCCCTACCTCAACTCCACAAGATTTCAAATCCTGTGGAATTGCAGGCTGACTTGCCAGAGAGCGAACGCTCTCTGGTGTGTGGCCTGCAGCTTTACGGTATTTGAAATCCCGTGGAATTTAAGCTTTACGGGATTTCAAATCTCGTGAAGCTTTGACTTCCCTAATCAACACACTAACGCGGGCTTAACACACTAATTTAAGCTTCATTTTACACTTCCTCTCTCCTCACCTTACATCACACCACCTTAACTTCCTCTCGTGAAACCTTCTATCAAAGAGGAATTTTAACTTTCTCTCACCTCACTTTACTTCCCCTCCTACCAAACCAAGCCTCACCAGAGATGCAAATCGCGAGTACCGTGAAGCATCTCGAACTTATTTATCTACTTGATTTCCCTCATTTCCTAATCTCAAATGCTTTTAACATAACTTAAACTTTCCACACTTACGGAGTTAGGTTTAAGGTACTTGGGCTACACCTAACTTGCAAGTAGAGAATTCATAAAGTCGCAAACTTGAACTTAATTGGCTCTTCTTCTTCTATAAAAGAATCTCTGCAGAGAAAATACCATATCCAGTACACCACCCCAGCTTTAAAATTCAAACCTCAGAATTCTCTTTTTGACACAGGATCAACAGTAAAGACCAAGGATGTACAGCAAATCACTGTAGGGTCCTTTTTCAATAAAATAAATGCCAAAAAAAAAGGAGGCTAAAATTGGCCCACGACTTTTTGATCTCTTGAGCAGATTTGCACCAAGGGAGCAGGCAATGAGGCCTGAGCTCTCACACTCGGTCCTCGTACACTTTAGATGTGTGTGCAACTCTTTTGATAGAAGAGGAGTGAAGCTGAAGAAAGTGTATAACGGAGAACTTTTGTCTTTCTTGGTGATAGTGAAGATTTTCCTTTTTTTTATAGTAAACTTTAGAGAGGGGCACATCACATATTCTTGCTAGCTTTTCAAGGGTGTGAAATTAGCAATTAGTTCAAAGCTAGCTAGGAGACCAACAGCTTGCACTTTGTGGTGGTATATATACAAAAAAATAGAATTATTTGGATGCACTTTTGCTCTCATTAAAGAGCTTTGATGCAAATGCCAACCCTACTCCTTTTTGTGAAGGGTTGGATTACATGCATGGCATGTTATTGTGGCCAAAATGCACATGCTTCTTGTCATGCCCTGCGGCAAACATGATGCGAAACAGTACTCTCAAGATTCCAAATT